GTTGGGAAATCTGGAAATCCTTGCAACCCTGCAACAGCCACTGCAGGGCTGGATACATTCAATCAGAGCTGTTTGGATAAGAAACTCAGTTTGCTAATCACGACTTCCAAAATGCCATAAAGGAGACAGCATCTGGCTTACCTATGTCTAAACTCTTCACCTACATATGACCCTGGACTTTCTGAAAAATTACACTATTTCATTTCACTAACAATTTGCAACAGTCTAAAATTCAGAAAGGGGCAATTCCATACAAACATTATTCCTGTATTTAAGAAAAATTGCTCAATTCTGTATAAGTTATAAAGTAGTGTAACTTCTGACTTCTAAGGAGCACGTCTTCCAGATTTTACATTCTGCTACAATACGTGCCTATTCAGCTAAACCAGTCACCTCCCTATATGTTCCATTAACAAAAAGCATTATATGTAATAGAGTCCAATCTTGATCTTTAAGCTGTATAAGAATGAGAATTTTGAATGTTTTCAGAATTTCTCACAGAACGTTTCTGCTGTTCTTAAGCACAAAACCAGGGAGGGAAGCAGGTTTGTTTTGCTACTTTAAGAAAAAAAAAAAAAACACACACAAACTTACAGCTGTTTGCTTAAAAACACAGGAATTTCTGTTCTTTAGAGTGAAGACTTGAAAGAATGGGAAACCTTTTTGTCATGGCTATGCTTTTTTATTAATGCTGTTATTTTTTATTTCCACTAGAAAATCCTCAAATCCAGCTTTAAGGTATCATGGGGGCTGGGAAATATACACTCTTCAAGGAAATATTTGTTAGTGCTTCAAGGCTAAAATCTCCAAAGATTCAGTCCGTGAAGTGCATGCTCCATTGTATCACACATGCCAGCAGTTTGTTCTGACAAATGTATGTACGCTGTCCCCACAGACCAACTGAGTATGCTCTAGCCCAGTGTTTATTTATATTTCCTGCTCACACTTATTGTGCATGAGGATAGCACACAAAAAACAAGCATGGAAAGAGGGTATCCCCTCTGCTCGATTCCTACTAGCACTGCAACGTAGAAAAGGAGAAACAGAAAAAAGTGAAGGTTAGAATGAAGGTTCTTAAGGACTGGAGAACACGATTAGCTAGAAAAGGAAGCTGGTAGGAAAATGTGAGCCTGAAGCCAAAGGAGGTAAGGGAAACTGACGTTTGGTGAGGAACTGAACTGGAGAGGGGAAGAGTCTGAACTGGCTGAGCTGGGCAATCATGGCTAGGAAAGAGCAGGGGGAGGGTACAGACCAAGAAGGAAGGGAAATAGATCTGACAAAAAGACCAAGAAGAGGGCACAAAGGCATCATGTACGTGGGAGGCTGAGAAGAAGAGAAATGCTAGTCTGTAGGCCACCAGAAGTTAAGAGAAAGGGAGGCTAGGAGGAACCATACAGTACTAGAATTGGGATTGATTAGACTAGATTTCATGGTGATACCGCAACTTAAAGCAAGGAGGCCAAAGGAAATAATAAATGAAAAGTAAGCTGATGACATCTCTATGATATTTTACCTACCATCCAGAAGGGAAAGAAGTTTAATGGAATACATACAGGTGTTGTTATATTACAGATGGCACATAGGAACCGTTCATGACCACATGACCAATGCAATATACTCTGAAGACAGCCCAGCCCCATCTGGCTCAACATCAAGCAGTATGAAATAGAAATTCCTATATAACAGGACACACAAGAACAGTATCACAAGGAGCCCGCTCATTCAGCACCTGAACCACTTCAAGGATCTGGCAAATAACCTAATCCATAACTGGGTAATGGCTACTATCACTGTAACCACAAACGCAAAATGCAGCCAGCGGGTGTTGAACCAGCTGGTGACTGGGATAAAAAGTGTTCTAGAAGGTGAGCCCTTAAGAAGAAAAGGCTGTCAGTTAGTGCTGACTATCAATTGGCGACTCTGACATCTGAAGACAAATACAAGACCCCTATTTTCACACAAATCTTGTCACAAATAACAGTCTTGAAAACGTGAAAGCACCACTCCTCCAAAGCGTAACAACCATGATAACAATGATAAGAACGACAAGCACACTCTCTGGAGTAGCACAAAGGACGGATACAGTACAGCCTAAAGTCAGAAAATTACTTCCCATATTTTTGGATGGCCCCTAAATTTAAAAAAGTTTTAATATCCAATTTGATTTATTTATACTTGCATTCAATAACTGAATGAGACAAAAAATCCAAGAAACTTAAAGACATCTTGATCACAGCTGCTATACAAGTTATGCTGTAGGGTGAAACTGATTCCTTCAAATTACTTGTTTATTGATTGCATTCCATACCTATGAAGTTTAAACTTGAAAGGTAGTATGGTTCCAAAAATAAGAAACCAAAACATTCCAGATGATATCCAGTCTCATTAATGAGTTAACTAAATGGATAAGGGAAGTAGTGTCCAGTAATTATTTGTAATTTATTAAATGAATCAGCTATAATGTCTTCAGCATGTATACTGACTAACAAGAAAAAACAAGAAAATAAAAAAATTAATGTTGGGAAAAAACTCTGATTCTGACACACTGGACATGTTTATTTCTTGGTTACTTAGTTATTATCAAATGTTATGCCAAAATGTCTGTATCTACATATTCTCACATCTAAAACGTAAGACAGTTCATGACAGTCATTAACAATGACCAACATAATTTTGTCTGTTAACAATAGTTATGATACATAAAATACACCCTTAAAAAAAGCATACTCAAAACTGGCTGAGTTAAACAGCATAAATCATTCCAATCCTCTGTTCAAAGACCTCAGAACATAATTCATGTTATATTGTGTATCCATTATCCTCCACAGGACTCGCAAACCAGAAAGGGCTTGAGAACTAATGTATTTCTATTATCTCTTGTACAGCCTGTATATGAGATACCAAATGACGGATGAAATCCCACTGGGAAAACTTTTTTACTGTGAGGGTGATCAGACACTGGAACAGGTTGTCCAGATCAGCTGTGGAAATACTCAAAACCCAGCTGGACAGAGTCCTGGGAAACCTGCTGTAGCTGACCCTGCTTGAGCAGGGGGGGTTAGACTAGATGGTCTCAAGAGGTCCTTTCCACCTAAACAATTCTATGATTCTGGGAAATTAAACAGTATCTTTCCTTAGGCCCTCACTTCAGTAATGTGTTTGTCTATTATCAGTAAAACACAAAAGCACTCAAAAGCTGACATGTAGTGTGAATGGCAAAACAGATTTACTAAATCAAAGGCCAAGCTACCTCACATAAATTGTATCTTGGATATAATTTTTATTCTTTTTCATCAATTATGGGTACAGCAACTAAACAAACAAAAAAAAAGCAAAAACCACTTGACAAATTCCAGTTGTGAGATTACATGCACAAGCAAATGTGAAAGACATTGTGGTAACTAGCCACTGACCAACCTAAAAATGTATTTAAACAAAGAGATTCTCAGCAAGCCCTGCATATAATTGCCTTTCTGCTCTTGTCTTATTCAGACATTTGCCACACAAACATGATAAATACCTCACAACAGACTAAAAAGCTATTTGGTTCCTATTAAATGACATCAATACCCAGTAACTAAAATGCCAAAGCCATTTATTCTTCAGAAATTCGGAGGCATAACAGGTTTGTAACTAAGATTTTTAAACCAGTCTAAAAATACCTGTAACTTCTGTGTTTTAATTTAATTGTATTTTAACAGTAGACTTCACGTGCACAGATCCTTTAATTTTAGTGCTTGATCAAGATTTTTTGGGATGTTTTTGGGGGGGTTTAAGCAATTTTTCAGACTTAAAATTATTTTTACACGTATGTAGTTCCTGATATTCTTATGTCTACTTTATTTTCATTCTTCCCAGCATTTATAAAGTACCTACAATCCTTCTACCATTTCGGTTACCAGGCAATAGACCGTAGCAAAGTAACGTAAAACTTCCATGAACATATAACCGCACAATTCTGAAGAGAGAGATGCTTCAGGGCAGTAAAGAACACTGAGATTACCAGATTGGAAACCTGTAATATGTAAACTGATACAGCAAAACTGTTGGGGAGGAGGGGGGGGGAATCAGTTTTTGACTAGTTCAAAGCAAAATCCAAGGAGCCCAGCCCATCCTATTGACTTTGAAGTCAATAGGAACATGCCAGGCTGGCACGGTAATGCCACTGTTGAACAAGATATAAGCTGTTGACATGGTTGCTGCCTCCCAATTTTTCTATACCTGTTTTTGAATTGAACATTCAAACTCAGTTTTTCAAATTATCTTAACTGACATCAAAATAATATACTCCTATATAACCACATGACTTTTACAAGTTGACTGGAATAAAGGAAATAATGAACACAAGTAATTGAAATTAAAATACCTGTTATCGAACAGTACACTACGTGAGGAGCAATCTTTTTAATGTCTTCATAACCTAGACCCATTTCAGCCAGTTTCCCAGGGACGTAGTTTTCCACAAAAACATCAGACACTGCTGCAAGCTTTAGAAAAGAAAAGGATGAGTAAGATTTGTTAATGAGCTTCCAAAAGTTCAATAAATTCTTCATGTAAGTTAATTTTAAAATCTCATTAATCAAAATGGCTCCAGTCTTTCTGGCAAAAGAAAACTTACAAACCTAGAAAGATATTTTTTTGGCCTGTTAGACTGTGCATCTCTGCAAACTACATATTAGAGATGCTGCATATCCTGAAAGAAGACTGTCAAAATCCTAAAGAAACTAGACAAAACTATAATATAATTATCTTATCAGTATCACATCAATTTCCCAAGACTTGACAATAGTTTACAGAACAATCATCACCTTTATATCTGCACTTAGCTTCAGAAAAAGGGGGGAGAAAGAATGCATCTTCATCCTTTGTGCCTTCTCTACCTTAGAAATAATTTTATAAATTGTTTTTCCATTTTAAAAATCATTGATTACAATTACTGTAACAGAAGCCATACATATCACTTCCTGTACGCAGAAGCAGAATAGGGAGCCCAAAAAATTTATTGGGTTAAAATTAACATCTTAAAGTCACCTCAATTAGAACAGTGCTGTCAAGCTCTGCAATGTGACTTTCTCCATCACATCAAAATGAATGACCTAGTCCAAAAATCTACTGAAGTTAAAGATTAACATATAACCTTGATGGCTTTAAATTACATCTTTTTTTTTTCCTTATGAAAGTTATAGATAGAGATACATGTTTCAATAAGACTAATACTAATTAAGAACTCCTGAAGCAAGAGAACTACATGTTAAAAGATGTATGCCTTGGGGGAGTTGTAGGGTTTTTTGCTTGGTTGTTTTATTTTCCCCAGGAATTTAAGAAACTATTCCCTGACAGGTACACACGTTTGTGCACACATTTTTAAGCATAACCTAAAACATTTAGTTTCTTAATGGTGTTTGCAGCTGATCAGAGTCACATTCTCTGAAACTACCATGTCACTGTCTGATTAATATGTACAGTATATTAGACCAACTTCTATAAACTAGTGTCACCATAACAGCAATCACAAGCATTTTTGTTCTAGCATGTAGGCTGTTCAGCTGAATTTAAGGCCAAAGAAGCTGCCAAGCCAGCAAGTATTTAACAGAAAAGATAGAAACTGATTCTTATTCGACAAGGCAGCATACAACCTATGATTGGTTTAATTGGATGCACAGAAGAGACGCTAATAACATTTACAGATACTAAGTTCAGCATACGGCAAAGGTGCATTTTAAAACATGTTATTAAGTATTTTTAAAGTGGCTATGTCAAGAGACTGTAGGACTATAGTAAACGAGAAACAGTCTCCAGGTTCTTAATAAGCATTGCTGGGTTTCAATGTGGACAGCTGGCTGGTTTGTTAATTCATGATTCCATAGAAGTAAACAGAACATAACTTCACGGAAGTTATTAAAAAATAGGCATTTGTCACAAGAAGGTTCTCAAGAAGATCCAGGTTTCCACAGAGCTAAAGCATTTGCTAATGAAAACAGAAGTAGCTCAGACAGATCTACAGCTGTCCCAATCCTCTCTGCAGGACAGCAGATCAAGCCACCAAAGGTAAAGGCAACACAATAGGGCCAAGCTGTTTGTTCTTTAATAGTATGCCTTTATGAAAAATAAAGTTAAGGGTTTCTTATTTTCTCTTTAAATCCTCACAGTTCATACATAAATACTTTTCAAACTGGTAATGCTACAGCCTTAGCTTAATTCATTCAAGAGATTAAATCAGTTACAACTTGTGTATTGCTTTCACTGGGATTTTATAATCTATCCAATTTACAGTGATTGTATGGGCTAAAATGGTTTGAGAGTTGTTGTTCATCTTATACTGAAGAACTACCATCTCCTACAAGCCACTGAGGAAGAAAGTGTGACATATGGTACTCTAACATAAAAAGCACCATACCTCTGGACTTGGCAACATATGTGGGATGACAACAGTGCTAAGTGAGGATACAATGACTTGGGCCCAGTTTAGCAGTGTATATATTCTCAGAGAGAAATGAACATGAATTTTCAAGACATCCTACAAGTGCTGCGTCAGATCTGCCACTAAAGTTTTCATGACACTTGGAAATAGTCTTTAATGCATAAAGACAGCAGTCTGTGTATAGTACTTTTTTGATGCTCACTGAACCAAGCATGGGTACCCAGGGTTCTGCCACTGTGGAGAACTGGATTCAGACTCTGATCCAAACAAACTGTATGTTCTTAAAACTCAAAGGGATTTTCAGTCTCAATGGGGTTTTAAGTCCACTGTCAACTGAAATTTCACATTTCATATCCTACAAGTCCTCTGAACACATCATTTGTATTTTAACTTCTACTAACAGAGCGATACAACACAGACCTGAGCTGGAATACTACATAACCCAGATAGGACACTGATATGCTCAACATCTATGCCTCAGGAAAGAAAAAAAGGCATCATGCATGCCAAAGTAGTCATTAAATTGAATAACAATAACAAATAATGATGCTACTAACTTGATAAAGCAAACTATTCAAACCTTTTGGAAGTTTTGTTTGGGTTTTTTTTTTTTGGGGGGGGGGGGTTGGTTGGTTGGTTTTTTTTTTTTACAAAAACTCCACACAGAAGAGAATGTGCTTACGCACACATATAAACATATATATACACACATATATACATATTTTTGTGTGTGTGTCTGTATATATATGTGTATGTGTATGAATAGTTTGCTTTATCAAGTGAGAGCATGCATGAGACACATGGACCTATCAGCTGGTAATGGAAGGTAAGAAGGAGTGCCATCAGCTCCCAGTCAACTGAATTTTCCCAAGTTCTTCATGAATAAATGGAAAAGTTAATGAGTTAAGACTAAATACTCAGGAGAAAAGTATCCTCAAGGTTCGTAAAATGAGCTTCTGAGAATAACTGCTAAATAATGCTCTAAAGAGACACTGAGCCATATTACAACAAAAGGATGTCAGAGCATGGGACTGGTGCACGTATCATCACTGAAGAGAAAAAACAATTTTCATTCAGGAAGACATACGAATATTTGGAAGGCAGTTAACAGTGAGCCAAAAGCATTAGGAAGGAAGACAGAGCTACAAGTGACACAGAATAAAGAAACATAAGAAAGAAGACCAAAGAATAATTTTGTGGGAATCATGTAATCGTGTAATCATGAAAGAGCAGACCCTTGGACAAGTATTTTGTAGTGCCGTGCCAAAGGAAGAAAAGCAGCCAGGACTCCTGATCAACAGACTTCTTCAGCTCACTTGATACTACTGACTGAATTATCAAGGCTGTGCTTTTGTCATATACCTGAAGACTCTCTACTCCTTTGTTTTTGATACGATTCTAGATTCTGAGATTTGCCCTCTTCTACCTATATGGAATTTACGAGAGGGGGAAACGAAATTTATTCTAACCATGTTACCTTTCTTAACAAAAAAAAAAATAACCTTATTACTTTTCTTTGTAGGGCTTAGGCTCAGGACACAATTCATATTTATGTATGAGTAACCAGTGTCACAAACTTGAATTTCTTCTTGCCATCAATTACTTTACAGACATGAACACTACTTTTCATACTAACATTGCTGAACAATGCTCAATTCTATACACATCTGTCCTGATGTTACTAGGAGACAATTGAAAACAAAAGCCTGTTACAGATAACTTCCTTTTACATATTCTTTTTGACAAAACTCCAAACAGAAGAAGTTATATTCTAGTTCCATTTGAGATGCAATAATGAAATGTCAAGACCTCTGCACCAAACACTTCCAAAACTATCACTCTAAATCAAGCAGAATGATTAACAACTCCACAAGTAGAGTAACATTTCAATAATGCCTCATCACTTCAGTCCACAGTGTTGGTATAACACAGATAGGGATGCCATTGATTTAAGGAACAGAAAGCTGTAGTGGTTATGAAAGCAACTTTTAAAGGATAGAAACTATAAGAAATTACTTTGTCACAGGAGATCTGTTCATTTTGATAGCTAGTGTGGTAAATATTTTAACAGAGTTAGTTCTCCCACTGGAAATTCCATAACATCACATCACAGGAAGTAATTCTTATACATGCTTGACTATTCCAGTGACATCAAGCTAAGAGAAAAATTAATATTGCTGCTGGCAGGAACCATTTGTCTATAGCTCTAAGTACTCTTACTGCCAGCTATCCTATCTTCAGCATCATGATAGCTCTACGTTACAGTGGTACAAGAGATCTTACCAGTAGAAAAAGGGTGAGAAGCCCAGTGCTAAGCTGACAGAGGATGCTGCTCTTGCATGACAAATGAGGGAGAAGAAAGTTGCTGCTTTGACTTAAAAATTATGTGGGATTTGAACTCAACCAGGCACCTGAGCCTCAAGCACAAAAGCTATATTGCAAATTCTTAACTCACTGGCCATTCAACTCCACAGACCGTAAAAAGGTTCTCCATATTGCAGGCAGAGGGTTATACATTTAAAACCAGAATCAAGCAGTAATCTTCCTGCACAAACGTCAAGATGAGAAAAAGGGAACTTCCTAACCACAAACAGTGGCAATCACACAGAAGCTTACGCTGAAGCCATCTTTTCTCCAGCTCATCCTGACTCATAAGCCCAGATGCCTTTAACTCTTCAAACAGGTCCAGCCCACACATGTGGAATCAGTGGACATGTTGTGCAGAGTAGCTTTTCTTTCACTATTTTTAAAGGTCAAATAACAAGCTAGTCTTCTTATGCAAGAGGAACAATTTTTATAGCTCTTATTTAGAATGTGACTAGTTTATCCAAAAACACATCTGTGTTATAGCATGCAAAATTATTCTAAATGACAGTGTCTGTTTCCAAAACCTTTAGAAGACAAACATACAGCTTCATAACAAATCAACAATAAATGGTTCTGTTCTGCGAAGAGAAAAGGCACTGCAGAATCCTTGGCTTATAAACTCCAAATATTTTCATACGAAGTGTATTTTACATAGCTGACAGGGAAGAAAAAAGGTCAAAAGTATCAGACAACTTAATCTATTTCCATTTCATGCAATATTCCCAACAAAAAATACTACCAGACAAATTCGACTTGCTGCAAGACACATACAGTCTCACTGTGAAAGAGTGATTGGAACGGAGATTGAAACAAACAGTAACAGAAGCCAGCTGACCCTCCTAGATGTGTTAGTACTGCAGGGCTGAAAACAGCACTAGCAAGTAGCAGGTCTTATGTTTCTCAATAAATAAAAAAAGGGTGACAAAGCACAGGTTTCACAGAATGTGAAATATGATGCTTTTATTAATTTTTCAATGGAAAAATGGATCACCCTTAAAAGACCCTTACATTCTGAACCCAAATACTGAAAAAAGAAACAAATATTAAGTTTGACCTACAGGACAGTATTTCTCAGAAAGACGCACAGCAACTGAAGTCATGAATACACTGTAACATTCAAAAACCCGCTAATACTGGAGCCCAGTATCTCCTCTTTGTAAACTGCTGACTGGCTTCATCACATCAGTCCAGCTTGCAGCTTTCTAATGAAGTAGTACAGCAAGATCAAATACAGCAACAGTAAAAGGAAAGCACTAGGCTGTTAGACCTTTTCCTCACAATATTTCATTTGAAGCTTCTGATGACATTTTCATGTAAATTTTATATCTAAAATCATTAGGAATTACACTGAACATTGAGTCCAAAAACACAGAGGCTATATACTATAATCTAACAAATTTACTGCACACATATATATTTTTAATTATCACATATCAAATTAATACTTGAAATGCAGAGTTTATTCTTTATTACTCAGGATCAAAACAATACAAAATAGGTACAGTTTGCATGCTATCAAAACCTACCTCTCTGATTAGCTTTGCTCCTTTTGAATCCTTCATGTTGATAGCTATACTCTGGGGATAAAAAAAATACAACAGTAATCTATATGAAAGCCCTTCTGGTGATTATCAGCCTCTTCTAAACATAACCAACAGTCAAGTTTCACACTACAGCTAAATCAAATAAGTAAATTTTAACACACACCCTACCTCCCCCTGCAAAAAAAATTCTGTTGGTAAAGCAAGCTGAACTGTCTCACCAATGGAACAGACATGCACCAAAACAAGCCTGACAGATATGGAGCTAGGAGCTGCACTGCAGTCTGTCCACTGTATGTTTGCACAGCACCTACTACTGCAAGAACACATGGGGACACCAGAAACATTTGTTTCAATGGCAACAAGCCATTAAACAGCTCAGGCATGTCATGAAACTTCATCTTCATCCTGAAGTTTCACAAGCTACCTTTAGCCAACCTAACTGTGGTATGATGCCTGCTCTCCTCCAGCTCCAGCTGCCAAGTGATGCAGGTCAGCTGAACTGATGCACCTGAAAAAAACAATCCTTCAAATAAAATAACCCTTACTTTCAGCAGGGTTCATTTTCAGTCAATTTGCACAAGCACCTGAGGACTGGCAGGACCACTGTTGCTTTTTCAATTTGCCTCAGCTGACCACAGCACCATACCAGAGGTTTGCAGCCTTTTTTGTTCAAAAGAACTCTTTGTTTTTCTCCTGAAATTTATTCATCATAACTTAAGGCCAATGTAACTATTGCTCCATTATATATGTTAAGAATCAAACAAAGAAGTGTTATGTCTTCAGTTGTAATCACAGAAAACATAGGCTAATGTTCAATACTGAACTCCATTTACCTTCTTATTTCTATTGACACTGAGAAAATAAACACTTTCTGTTCCAGCAAAAGGTGGGCCCCAGGCTCTTGTATCATCACCAGCTCCTGAAAGAAATACCATCACATTTTCATAGTTGTCCAATATCCCACTGCCAACAAATAAAAAGAATAGAAAGTTTTCCGCCAACATCATATTTAAACCACCTAAGCTTCATCTAGTGGGCAGGACAAAAACTAGTTTAATTTTTAGGATCAATAAATCATCAAAAAAACACCTAGAAGTGAACGTGATTAAGAAAAGCGAACACAGTGTTTGCTAGTGCTGGGATTACTTCTAGGTTTTAAAATATTAATATACAGCCACACACCACCAATGTATTTGCGTGGTTTTTTGGTTGGGTTTTTTTGTGGGTTGGGTTATGGGGGATTTGGGGGGGGGGGGGGG